GGTTTCGACAAGGGGCTTCGAATAGATTCAAACTGATGAGGTGTTTGAATTCAATTCGATTGACGGACTAATTCTTGTTTCTTTGGCAAGTGGCGTCTTATTATTTTGGTACTCTATTATATATCGATGTCGTTCGAAGCCGGAAGTGGGGATCGGCATCTCAACGACTGATTTTTGATTCTTTTCTAATTTCGTCTACTTTTTTTAACACTAACATATATCACACTTTATCGAATGCGTTAGTTGTATTCAGACCTTGATCGCATTCAGATGCTATTGCACAAATCTGTTGCTATTTACATTGTAAGTATAGTGACACCAGTTTCGTTGGGTCGACGTTATTTATATTGTTAATATGGCATTTTCAGATATTTCCTCAAGCTACCAACCATATCAACAGATACCAATTATGATGACTGTAATACTGCCGCCAACCATTATCTTAGCTGTGATATGTGTGCCGCAGCACATGGTCGGGAATGTTGAGGGAATGGATTGTGATGAGATGGAAGCAATGGTCGTTGTTGATGATCACGACATAGACGATATTGAAATGTTTGAAATCATGGAGGTAGATGGATGATGAGGTCTGAGAGAATTTGCCAATCGATGTTGACTACGCCGAATGTTTTCTACACTTCCGGTTGTCCAGTAATGGTGTCGATGATTCTGATTCTGATTTTGGATTTTTTATTTGCTTGTATACTTTAGTATTTTATATTATTTATTATATCTTACAATTAAACCAGTGCCTTCGCTAACCATTAACATAACTGTGTGTCACCTTTCAATTGGAATTGTTTGCGATGAACATTTGTTGTTACCGAATGTGCCGCAGCATGTTTGAAATCATGGAGGTAGATGGATAAGAGTGTGATTTTTGCCAATGGATTATGCCGATAGTGTCGATGGTGGTGATTTGTTTTATTTTATCTGATGAGGGGTTAAGCATCACATTGAAATACCTTTTCTCGTCCACTGGCACTCTGCTGTCTTTGCTCGCTCATTTGGCTCATTGGTACTATTATGTAGTCAACTTTTTTATATTGGCGGTACTATGGTATCTTCAGATATTTCCACAAGCAACCGACTAAGCACCATTAACGTAGCTTGAGTTTCGACAAGGGACTTCGAATGGATTCAAACTGATGTGGTGTTTGAATTTCATTCGATTGACGGACTAATTCTTGTTTCTTTGGCAAGTGGCGTCTTATTATTTTGGTACTCTATTATATATCGATGTCATTCGAAGCCGGAAGTGGGGATCGGCATCTCAACGACTGATTTTTGATTCTTTTCTAATTTCGTCTACTTTTTTTAACACTAACATATATCACACTTTATCGAATGCGTTAGTTGTATTCAGACCTTGATCGCATTCAGATGCTATTGCACAAATCTGTTGCTATTTACATTGTAAGTATAGTGACACCAGTTTCGTTGGGTCGACGTTATTTATATTGTTAATATGGCATTTTCAGATATTTCCTCAAGCTACCAACCATATCAACAGATACCAATTATGATGACTGTAATACTGCCGCCAACCATTATCTTAGCTGTGATATGTGTGCCGCAGCACATGGTCGGGAATGTTGAGGGAATGGATTGTGATGAGATGGAAGCAATGGTCGTTGTTGATGATCACGACATAGACGATGTTGAAATGTCTGAAATCATGGAGGTAGATGGATGATGAGTCTGAGAGAATTTGCCAATCGATGTTGACTACGCCGAATGTTTTCTACACTTCCGGTTGTCCAGTAATGGTGTCGATGATTCTGATTTTGGAGTTTTTATTTGCTTGTATACTTTAGAATTTTATATTATTTATTATATTTTACAATTAAACCAGTGCCTTCGCTAACCATTAACATAACTGTGGTGTCACCTTTCAATTGGAATTGTTTGCGATGAACATTTATTGTTACCGAATGTGCCGTGTTTGAAATCATGGAGGTAGGTAGATGGATAAGAGTGTGATTTTTGCCAATGGATTATGCCGATAGTGTCGATGATGGTGGTGATTTGTTTTATTTTATCTGATGAGGTTAAGCATCACATTGAAATACTTTTTCTCGTCCACTGGCACTCTGCTGTCTTTGCTCGCTCATTTGGCTCATTGGTACTATTATGTAGTCAACTTTTTTATATTGGCGGTACTATGGTATCTTCAGATATTTCCACAAGCAACCGACTAAGCACCATTAACGTAGCTTGAGTTTCGACAAGGGACTTCGAATGGATTCAAACTGATGTGGTGTTTGAATTTCATTCGATTGACGGACCCGCCATCGCACCCTGACAACTTGCACATCAGCGACTTGCTTGGTCAGAGTTATTTATATTGGTGGTGTTGTCAACCATTAACGTAGCTGTGGTGGCGGCGACTTTCACTGAAATTATTTGCCATGAAGATTTGTTGCCAGAATCTGCCACCACTTGGTCGAAACGACCTAGTCGTAGTTGAAATTTTGAAATCATGGAGGAGGAGTATTTTTACCGATCGATGTTGGAGGACTGGGGCCCGAATGAATGTTTTTTCTGCACTTCCATATTCTGTTGGTCCAGTAGTAGGTGTCGATGATGATGGCGAGTTTGAAGAATTTGGTTTTTTTTTTATTTTTGTTTGTTGTTGACCAGAGGGGTAATCGAAGCGGGGGTATGGCAGGCACGTCCTTTTCTTATAAAAATGTTGCTTTTAAAAAATGTTACTTTGTCATCTAGCGGGGTTCGAACTCGAGACTCTCTGTTCGGTAGTCCGACACACTACTCACTGCTCCGTGCCATCCCCACTTCCGACGCTAACTAACGGTCAATAACAATTGAATATTATAGGAATACTTAGGTCGATTGTCGACGAATCTGAACAAAATACCCTTAAGTCGGTTTTCAATGAAGCTAAAAATAGATTTGTTTTGCAACATTTAGACTGTCTTCTATATCGTGGTACTAAATGCCAGCTGATTAGACCAGTATTTTTTGATAGGCAATTTTTTTTTTGAATTTTAAAGTAAACAACAGACTCCAAAGCTTTGCTATGTTGGTATTTACAAGAAAAGTGGTTCATTTTTGGTTTTGGTTGTATTTGAAATTATATCGATTACGAACAGAATTGTAAGCAAATCATAAATATAAGTGCAAAAGGGTTGCGAACAATAATGTTGTGTTTTACAAAGGTGAAAAAATATTGGGAGTGGAGGATATTTAAAACGGGAAAAAAAAACAATTAATTCGGATGTCTGGTAATTTTGTTCCCATTTTATGGGAATATCGGAATTTTATATGTTGGGCCAAATTTTTAATTTTTGGTCGTAGTAATATTTATTTATAAATTGAAAATTTTAATTTCATCTATATATACGTATATATAGAAGAGTTGCGTTGTAAGTGACTGACTGATCATCAAGGACCCGACGAAACGGCCAAAGATACGTTTAGATTTACGAAATCCACTCTCTCCGATCTGAAATGTCAATTCCATAGCGCATAAAGAGGAGTACACACTATCATTTTTGAATGGCCGTTAATTTCTCTCAGTCATCAGGCAACCACAAAAATCTTTATGGTTGCGTGACAGTCAGATGTTGGATGTTTGTTGGTTCGATAATTTGAACATAAAAAACGGCAGTCGGACAATAAATTTCGACATTGAAATTAAATCGTATGGAGAGCTGCTACATATAATGAAAAATTATAAAAATTATATGTACTGTGGACGACGTGAAAAAACAAAATAAACACCATACGTTCATCCTATAGAAGGGAACTCAAAAAATAAAGCAATCTCAAAACATCTGGACATTCTGAAATAGTTTTTAAAGTCCATGGGCTCAGAGTCTCGAATTTCTTCACCCATTTCGTTCTTTTAATAACTTTCTTTTCGCCATATTACAACGCAATTATTAAAAATGCGCACCCAATTTTTTGTCATCCATTTTTATTAATATATTTCGTTTTTACGGTGTCTTATTAGAACAATTTATAAATTTGAATGTCGGTTTGAAAAAAAAGCCATGAATGATAATATGGCCGCTACAAACAACACAACAAAACTGTAACAACCGATAAGTTATCGAAACTGTCACTCAAAAATGATAGTGTGTACACCGCTTAAGTCTAATATAATCCACTGGATTTGTGAACTGGATTAACGTGACGTATACGCTATTGAAGTTTGAGATCGAGTGGATTTAGGAGTCTAAATGTAGCCTAAAAGTACATTTACATATACGATTTTAAATCGACTCGATTAACCAAATCCAGAAATCCACCCTAATTGTTTACACATACCTTTAATCATGATCTAAATGCTGATCAGCTGATGTTTGTTAGTATACATACAAAATGATTAATTTGAACCAAACATTTTTGTTTGCAATTTGAAAATGAAAAGAAGAATTACAAAAATGGAAATGTTTTCGAAAACCTGTGACCGTGTGAAAAGTTAATAAAAACATAAAAAAATTAAAAATAATTTTTATTTTCCTTTAATCTTTCATTTTTTTTAATTGGCAACCGTTAAATTAAAAAACAAACAACATGTGAAAACAATTTCAAATTTTAGTACATTGTGTGAGAGTTGTATTTTTTCGTACAAAAACCGCGTTGCATCGCATTAGTAGCATGCTTTCGCTCATGATTTACAATAAACCCTGCCGATGATTTAAAGTTGTATGATAAATCGTGGTGAATTCAACCTGATTAAGAAAATAAACCCTGATTCAGCCTTTAATCATGATTAGAAGTTATATGTAAATCCACTTTAAGAATCTACCAACTAACTTTCATTTTCTAACTTTTGTGTGATCCCTCTTGTTATTCTTAGTCTCCTTGTGTTGTAAACATGACGCCAAAAACATATGTTTTCTGTATAACCAAACAGTCATTGTGGAAGCAAGATTAAACAAGTCAATTCTAATTGGGGATTTTTTATTAATTTGAAACCAGTGCTTATTTTTCGAATAATTTTTAAAAAAAAAGAAAACAATTTATCCATAATGTCAAAATACTTTCTAAATGGTGCCAAAGACGAGGCTAGCATTCGAGAGTTTGATACATTAGGTAACTATGAGACGATGATGGCTTCTTTCAAATCTGGATGGCTACTTGTATATCTATGGAGCAATATCTGTCTTATTTTTTAGATTTGTAATCGTTAATAGCCACATCTTAATGCCATTCTTCTTCTTTTAGATGCTCCGGTACGTGAATTAATATTGGCCGCTGTGGAAGCTCGCAAACATGCCTATTGTCCGTACAGTAATTTTGCTGTCGGAGCTGCCATACGCACTTCGGATGGCACCATTTACACTGGTTGTAATATCGAGAATGGTGCCTACACCGCGGGTATTTGTGCGGAAAGAACTGCAGCAGCTAAGGCTATAAGGTAAGTTTTTTTTTTGCAAGGGTGACCTCTTAATTTTTTAAATTTATTTGCATGCATTCGAAATCATATCACATAATTTCATTAGAATAGAATTTCATGTGCACTGACTGTCGTCAAGTCAAAATGTGTATAAAATATTTATGCAATTAGAGGGATTGGAAATGTAATATAGGGGCCAAAATGAAGATACGATCACGCAAATCTTATTGCTTAAAAAAAAAAATTGGTTGTTATTCTCAGAGGACACCACATCGTGTGGACACGTATGCTCAAAATTGGCTTCGTTGGAAACAGCAAGTTCAGGACCGCGAAATATGCCACTGTTCCGCTTTCGAGACCATTATTTTATTTGATTTGTATACCCTCAAACTCATGGCTAATGGGGGCATATGCCCTTCCTAAGCCAAAAATGTGCCTTTTCAAAATATTGGTTTTAGACACCCCCTTTGATCCAAATCGTAACAATTTTATTAAAGCACCAAAGTCACTGTAAATCTTTCGTTTTGCACGAAATTTGTCGTAGCGTACTAAATTGTATCTAAAATCGTTCGTTTCACGTCAATGCTCGAAAAGGATGTTAGGATACGTATGTAGAATATACCCAAAGTGGTGAGGCGTATCATATTGTCGACCCAGTCCGACTTTACTACTTCCCTTACTGGTTTTATTTTATTTCTTTGGTTTTGGTCACCTCCATTTTCCTCACACCAACATCATTCAAAGGGATTTTTTACTGAAAGGAGAAGTGTCCAAATATTTACTTATCGTTATTTTTGTTATCGGAACATATCGGATATATGGATAAAATTAAACTATATTTCATATTTATGATTTGAATGTTTTATTCTTCGATCTTTTCCATTTTTCGTTCATCTATCTCAAATGCTAGACAGTGATTCATACCAAAAATTCATCCATTACACACACACACACACACAATTTGCATGACATAAGAAAACATAATCCCTTGCAGATATCACAATACATTACAATGATGATGATGATGTCAATCCTCCAATTGTTTATTTCTTCATTTTTCCCTCCAGCGAAGGTAAACGTGATTTTGTTGCTTGTGCCGTTGTCGCACAACAGGAGGGCTCATTTACCACACCTTGTGGTGTTTGTCGTCAATTTTTAGCTGAATTCGGTGCTAAAAATGATTTCCCTTTGTATGCAGCTAAGCCCAACAGTCCACCGTTTCGTGTTTTGTGTACAAGTATAATGGAGTTGTTGCCAAAAACATTTCTGTTAGAAAAATAAAAACCCCATAATTTGGATAAAATCCATTTAATTGAATATCAAACTTTTTTTATAAAACAAATTGTGACCAAAATAACCCACAGAAGCTAAATGTTTTTATTTTTCCTGAAATAGTTTAAAAACCATATACGATATATTTGTAATTAGTGTTGTTTTTTTGTTTGTAAATATATTTATATATTTAAAGGAAATATATTATAAAAATAAAATGTAATAGACGTTTAATATTTCTGTAAAATGTTTTTTTATTATAACCTGTATTCTCATCAAGAATCTCCTAATAACGGGAATTACCTATAAATTAACTATTTTTACGAGATTTTGCACCAAAAGGTACTCACCCCTATTCCGACATCACTTCGACATTGTTTTCGTATTCTCTAACACTTATGAGACCCATTGTTAATTTTTAGTATATACATAGAATTAATTTTTGAGTCGATTTATGTCCCTCCGTTCATGTATTATTTTAAACAAGTAACATGCCAGGTTTATGATCGGATGGGGACGTATTGAATAGAGTCTAAAGTGATGTATCCTTTTTTTTAATTTCTAAAAAAAATGTTTAAACACTCAGTCGTCAATTAAAATTATGACGAACAAATTTTCGACATCGTCCTTGTCAAACTTTTTTACGGAATACCAAAAATGCTTTCTCAGATCCCCATTGAAAACATATTTCTTAAAAAATCCACGCTTTTTGAAGACAAATTAAAAATAGTTTTAAAAAGTCAACATTTTTTGTAGACACCCAAAAAATATTTGTAAAAAAATTCACGCTTTTCGTAGACCCCACAAAAAATTTCTGTAAAAACTCCACGTTTTTATAAACCGCACAAAAAATTACTTTAAAAACCCAACACGCTTTTTATATACCCCACAAAAAATATATTTTTTAAATATCCACCCCAAAAAATATTTTTTAAAAAATACTCACCACATAAAGGCATATTACAACGTTACCTATAATTCTACGGGGCGTACAGAAAAATTCAACTTCCCCACTTTTGTAAAATGTTGTGTACGGCCGTATTACCCAAATACGTCGAAACCTTTCGATTATACACAAGCTCTACAAACCGCAAAACAAAGTTGTTAAATTAATCCAAATATTTATGTTCACATTCGAAATTTTATATTTTCTGAATGTTTTGTTTTTATTTTCAACAAAAGAAAAATACAAAAAATACGTTCTGTCAAAGTTGAAAATTTTCAACTTGAAATTTTGTACGCTCGACGTATTTCGGTAACATTCATATAAATACATGTGTTCTACCTTTTGTGGTGAAATACGTCGAACGAGAAAGTCGAAAGTCAAAAGGGTGATTATTGTGTGCACAGTTTTTAATAAAATTGTCTACTCCTTTCGAGGGTTATACAACATCTACACTTTGCAAAGTCATACAGCCTCTTCAAATAAAATATATTTATCCGGAGAGGTTGTATAAGTCAAATTTGTAATTTTTAAATAGTCCCAAACTTCAAATACCACAATTCCATTGTTGACAAATTCCATTGCTGAGTGGGAAATGTAAAACCCAACCGGAAAACTTTTTTCTTTATAACAAAATAAATAAAACAAATGTTTTTTCTTTTTGTTTCTTACATAATAATATAATTATGATAATAGTATAATATATTTTTTGTTTTTGTTGTTGGTTTATAATCATTCATTTTTTAAACCTTAAACGTAATTGCATTTATTTATAGTATATTTATATATATGTAACTAAACTAAATAATAGTAACATTATTAATAAACATTATTGCATACTTCTAAAAAATATGTTTTTTTTAGAAAACAAAAAAAAATATATCTTAAGTATATATATAAATGAAAAAATATATAATAATTAAATTATAAATGTACCCGAAAAAATAAGAAACTCTAAGAGTTTCATTGTTTTGGGTGTGTATAACAAAATTTAAGTGATATACGGAGTAGTAAATAAATCATAATAGTATTGTTTGTTGGTTTTTAAAGCTATCCTATTTAAGTAAATGTTGGGTTTTGTTTTATTTCTTGTTGCTAATAATGGTAGTAAGTTTCTCGGCATTGTTATTTTATATATGATATATCCTTTTTTTGTTATGTTTCTTGTTTATCCTTTATAAGTACAAAATAATATAAATATTTCTACAAAATTGAACTATCTGGTTTGTTGTTGTTGTTTTTTTGTTTCCTTACTTAATATACAATTTCTATTAGACTTGACTTTTACTTTTACAATTTTACTTCGTTTTCTAAACAAACAAAAAAGTGGTACCTCTCACTACTCCTAAAACAATAGGTTAGGCGGCAAGGGAGGGTTGGGGAATTTTGTTTCTATTCTATACTTGTTTTTAAATAAATTCTCTAATTATTTGCAACATTTGCCGCCGCTGTTGCTTGTTTCGCACCATTGTCTGGGTTAACAGTACTTGAGAAGGAGGCTGCATGTGGTGGTGGTGCTGCTGCTGGAACCGCCATTATAAATTGTGGCTGTTCACCACCTTGTGGCGTTGTTGGCGTCTCCACATCAAAGAAACTATTCAGTGGATTATTTTCATCCGACACCGGCGTATCGAAATTCTGTTCGGCACTTATTTCAAAGTAGGCCGGATTGATGTTACTTCGTTTCTTTTCCAATGGCATCGACTCCACAACTTCGCTTATTTGTGGCCAATTCTTATAGAATTTCATATCGTATTCAATTTGCATATAACGTCGTTTTGATGTCTTCACATCACGATCACGTTTCGCTTGGAAATTCTTAAACAACAACAGTTCCACAATCACAGTTTCGATCAATACATGGGCCACAAATGCTGCCACACCATAGATTAACATCCAATAACGGAAATTCATTTCAGGCGGTAATATCAGTTGGAAGAATTCCGCCAACCATGCCGGTGGATACAGAATGAGGTAGATAACAATACAGATATTAGCAATGAGGGTCAAACAGAAGGGTATATTCGACCAGATGGGTCGACGATATGGAGCACCTTTAGAGAATACAAAAGCTAAAATGATATACTGGAAACTGGATATGGCGAACATGGTGTAGTTTTCCCAACAGCCTAAATGTTCGTCACTGCTGTAGACGAATGGTTCGAACCATTCCTGTTGATGAACATGGAACCAGCCTGCAAAGAGAGAGAGAGAGAAAATATGAATACAATTTTGAATATAAATTTGAAGAATTATAATAAAATATGAACGGCTTTGGGCCAAACCTTTTACACCCTCCCCTTCAATGAAGGGGACACATTCCAGATAAACCTAAAACCGTTGAGGAGCGGGATTTGACAACCAACGATAGAACAAATTAAAAAATTATTTTTAATTCGTTTGAAAAACGTGCCCCAAAACCTCTAAAATATCGAATACAAGGGGGTTGGGGAACCCAAAATACGGTTGAAAACATTTTCAAATCCAAGGGACCATCCATAATTTTGTTGTTCATAATGGGGATCGAATGGTGGGGACATATTCCAGCGGAAGCGGGATTTGACAACCAATGATAAACGAAATTGAAAAACGTGCACCTACCTCGAAACTTGAGTCAATATCGATCATTTTTGGTATGGATATTTTTTGCAAAAATGGGTTGACCTACCCTCGATCTGGAGTCAATATTGACAATTGTTGTTTTGCAACACAATAACATAATTAAACAAATTAAAATATTTTTTGTCACAACTCACCTGCTACTTGGAATGCAATAACCACCAACAAATGCAAAACAATCGATGCCAACGGCGTCAGCGATATTAGCGACGATAACGGCACCTGCTTCACCAATGGTCCATTGAACGATTCCGTTTTGCCAAAGAAAAATGCAAATATCGATATTAAACCCAAATCTATATATAAATACTGTTTATCCGTTAAATTCGAATCGATGGAATAGAGAATCATGACCGATACAAATTGTACCATCGAATAGGCAGCCATGTATTTGAAGATACCGAAGGAGGTGACCAAGGCGGCACGACCCTCCTTGATGACATTCGGTACGGCAGCAATGGTGGGATTACGCGAGGTAAATGGCGAGGCAATTGAAGATTCAGTTTCGCTGAGAGAAATGCCGGTATGGGCAACCTTTAAGGCACCACAATCGTTGGCACCATCACCACACATGGCCACACAATAGTCCAGGTTTTGCAGTTCCACAACAAGGGCCTGTTTCTGTTCTGGTGACATGCGAGCATAGATAACACCTCGGGTCAGGAAATTGGGCAGCAGATCGGGGAAGTGGTCTTTGACAATTTGCCATGTCTTACCGACCATGGCAAAACGATAATTGTCACGCCAATTTTTGTCGAGCAATGAGGTTGCTGGTGGTTCTGCCACATCCATGGGCGAGTTTAAGCCAAGTTCCGTATCATTATGTGTCCAGGTATCTACAGTTTCAACACTACCACAACTTTTACTGTTGGGCATGGTAATGGAGGCGGCACTTGACAGTGATGCAACATCACCATTTAAACGGTGGTAGTTCGTGTCGTACAGCGATTCGTTGGTATTGGATGAGGCAAGAAGGGTGCCATTGGTTTTACCATTTGTCATTGAGGTAGAGGCGGCACAGGAGGCACTGCCCAAATCCAGGGTATAATAAAGCTCATAATTACTGTGATCCGTCTCGTTGTGTTGATGTGAACTATGATGATGATGCTGGTGGTGATGATGATGGTGTTCTCCCCCCTCGGCATCGGCTTTGTGACGTACATTCACCGTGACCACCGGTTGATTGGAACTAACAATACCACAATCACGGGCCACACTCAACGCTGTCAAGATGTTATCACCCGTTATCATTATCGAACGAATATTGGCTTTGGTCAGGGCTTCAATGACCTCGGTGGTATCGGGTTTCAAACGATTTTCCAACACCACAAAGCCCAAAAATTCCAAATCACTTTCGACACTTTCACGAGGCAAACGTTGTACTTTGGTATAATTAACTTTGGTACTGAGAGACTTATAGGCCAAGGCTATGACACGATAACCTTGTTTGGCATACACCGACAGCTGTTGGGAGAAATTATCCGGCAGACTTTCGGGCAAACACAACTGTTGCAACATCTCCGGCGATCCCTTGCAATAGACATTAAAATGCTTCTCACTAAGACGTCGCGTAATGACCGACATACGTTGCAGATTGGAGGTGAATGGAAATTCCCGAACAATACCATGATCGTTGACGGCCTCACCATTCAACAAACCCACATCGGATAGTAAATCATCGACCGAAGATTGGCGTTCGACCCTTTTTGTTTCCATTGGCGGTGTGGCGGGTGGAGTGGTGGCCTTTGGTGGCCTAACCACTGTCGGATGTAGCAGACCATATTTTTGATTATCCGGTACCCCCTGAGCATCTTCCAATATCCAACCGGTCGATTCGAACATTTTCAAATCCAATGGATCACCCATCATTTTGTTGTTCATAATGGTGATCGAATGGCAGGTGACCATGCCGAAGAGGAAGTTATCGTATGGTAAACGTTCAATTTGTTTAATGGGAATTTGGAATTGATTTGTAGCCGATTTTGGTACAACGCCCCACATATCGAGACCGTCTTCGGTAAGGGTACCCGTCTGAAAACGAAGAGACAAAAAATAAATTAAATATTAAATGAAAAGTTATTTGGGGTCAGAAGAATAGGTTCGAAATGTTTTTCTTTTATTCCAATTTAAGACGTTTTTCAGAAGCTATAGTAACTTGAGTAAAATATTGATCCTCTAACTTGAATAGAATATTAGTCCTCTTCTATGCATGGCCTTAACGGACTTTTTCCAAGTGAAGGTCAATTGGATTTCGATACCACGACTTATTGGCCTTCTATAAGAGAACCCATTAGTCTTCCCACAAGATAACTATCTGGTCCTCTAGGAGAGGATACGGCATTTTTTTAGAGTAACTTCTGATCTTTTAAAAAAACAATTTTTGAATAAGAAATACCCATATCATTGGACTTGTGTAAGATGTCTTCTAAAACATGTAGATTTTCATTTTAAAAATGACCTTCATTAAAAAAACAATTTTTTTATAAGAGAACTTTAGGACACAAGATATAAGAGAGGACCATTTTTTTAGAGTAACTTCTGATGTACTTTTTTTTTGATAGAATACATATCATATCATGAGAATACATATCATTGGACTTGTGTAAGATGTCTTCTAGGTGGAAACATATTGGTCTAAGAAGTCTTCCGTCATTTTATAAAATGACCTTCTGGTCTTTTATAAAAAAAGACCTTCAGGACTTTTTTTATAAGAGAACATTTAGGACTTCTATAAGAGGACTTTCAGGAATTCTAAAGGAAGTCCTTTTGGATTTCTAAAGGGAAGACCTTCAGGACTTCTATAAAAAATACTCTTTGGACTTTCTATAAGAAGACGTTCTGGTCTTTCATAAGAAGACTAGAACGGAATTCTAAAGGAAGTGTTTCTGGATTTCCAAAAAGAAGACCTCTTCAGGACTCCTATAAAAATACTCTTTGGATTTTTCTACAAAAAGGCGTTCTGTTCGTCCATAAGAAGACCTTTTTGGCTATCTGTAAGAGGAACTTTTGGTTGTCTTTGTTAATCTTTTTTACCTTTGAAAAAACACCTTCGGCTCTCCAATAAAAGACAATAAGAAGATATTCTGGACTTCTATAAGGAGATCTTCAGGACTTCTATAAGAGATGTTTTAGTCTTCCATAAGACTTCATGGCCATTTAGAACTTCTTTAAGAGGACTTTCAGGAATTCTAAAGGAAGTCCTTCCGGATTTCAAAAGAAGACCTCAAGGACTCCTATAATAATACTCTTTGGATTTTTCTACAAGAAGACTTTATATTCGTTCATAGAAGAAGATCTCTTTTTTGCCTTGGAGAAGACCTTCGGTTCTTCATTAAAAGACTGGACTTCTATAAGGAGACCCTCAGGACTTTTATAAAAGATGTTTTAGTCTTCCATAAGACTACTTTGTCCTTTAAAGGACTTTCAGGAATTCTAAAGGAAGTCCTTCTGAATTTCAAAAGAAGACCTTAAGGACTCCTATAAAAATACTATTTGACCTTCTATAAGAAGACGTCCTGGTCTTCCATAAGAAGACCTTTTGTCTATCTGTAAGAGGATCTTTTGGTTGGTCTATTAGAAGATCCCTTTTTTACCTTTCAGAAGACTATCGGATATTCTGGACTTCTGTAAGGAGATCTTCAGGACTTTTAAAAGAAGACCAAGACCTTCAGGATTCTATAAAAATACCTTTTGGACTTCTGAAGGTACCGAAGGCCGTTTTATAGAAATCCTGAGATCTGAGAAGATATAAAAGAAAACCTTTAAAAGAATACTACTACAAAAATACGACTTTTGGACCTTCTACAAGAAGACCTTTTGGAAGACTTCGAGGACCTTCTGGTCTTTTACTTCTTCCACTCGAAGTCCATTCGTTTACTCTACATAAAAAGTGTTTGTCCTTTATAAGAACACCTTTTTGTCTTCTATAGAAAGACCTTTTGTTCTCTTAAAAACACACTTTCTGCTCTTAAAGGCCTTCCACTCGAAGGCCAGGCCTGTTCTTCCATTTGAAGACCATCTGATCATCTATTAGAAGGCTTTTTGGCTCTCTATTGGAGGATTTTTTTGATCATCTATTGGAAAATCCTCTGGTCTTTCTCTAAAAGAAATTCTTGTTTTAAATTTGAAGACTTTCTGATCGTCCACTAGAACACTTTCAGGACTTTTAAATGAAAACCTTCAGGACTTTTAAAAGAAGACCTTCAGGTATTTTTAAAAGAAAACATTCAGGACTACTACAAAAATACCTTCAGGAATATTATAATAAGACCTTCAGTATATTATAAAAAATAATTTCAGGACTACTGCAAAAATACCTTCAGGTTTTCTATGGGATCTTATGTTTTCCATAAGCATACGACATATATTTCTATTAGAACACCTTCTGGTCTTCCATTAGAATGCCTTCTGGTCTTTCTCTCAAAGACATTCTGGTCTTAAAACTTGAAGACTTTCTGATCTTCCACTAGAAGACCATATGGTTTCCCATTAGAAGACCTTCTGGTTTTACTTTGGAATACCTTCTCTTCCTCTATAAGAAGACCCAATATTTTCAGGACTTCAATAAAAAATACATTCAGGACCTCTATGAGACCTTATGTCTTCCATAAGCATGAATATCAATAATAATTTTCTTCTAGTCTTCTATAGGATAACCTTCTGTTTTCTATGAGAAGAAAAACAGAAGAAAATACTTCTGGTTATCCATAAGTATTGGTTCTTCGCTTACCTTATCAAAACAACAACAATCGATGCTGCCGGCAACATTAATCGATCTTGGCGATATACAATAAATATTATTGCGTTCCAAACGTTTTTGGGCATAAAAACGGCCCACTGTCATGGCAGCTGGTAAGGCGGGAGGCACAACAACCGTTATTAAATCCAATGATTCAACAGCGATTTTGGTGGCTTCAATGTTTCTCATTATCTGTAAAAAAAAGCAAACAACCAATAACAAAAAATTCAATTATATCCAAACAAAAATCAAATCATAAATGTGGTGCCAGCGAATACCTACCTTACTGACTAGCGTATAGATGAATCCGATTAAGGCAATTAAACCCAAAAACTCAATAAATTTATAAGAGTCCTGCTCAAATTTATAATCAACTGGTGGCGGATACAATATGGAACGTATTAGACCACCCTTGGCCGTAATATTGCCGGTATTTATGACAATGGCTAGCACCTTTTCCGAGCCAATATAACGGGTCTGGATGACTTTGGTGCCACAGAAGAGGGTGTGGCGTGCATGTTCCTTCTTATCGAAGACAACATCACGTTTCGATGGCAGTGGCGTCTTGGTAACCGGTACACTTTCACCTAAGAGGGGAGGGAGGAGGAGGAGTAAGTGGGGGTAAGATTCCACTGCCAAAATGCATTCATTCATTCTTCATACCAGTTAACATGGCCTCATCAAGGATACAATTGCCCGACAACAGGACCGCATCGCATTGCATTGTACAACCACTGGAGGGTATTTCAATAATATCACCCGGCACCAAACGCTGTGTCGGCAGCTCATGGACCTCACCGCGTTCACCCACAATTAAGGCAGTACCTGTATTCTGCACCGTCTCACGGAGGGCATCTTGATTCTGCAAGGAAAGTAATCACTTTAATATTCACCAAGAAGACAAACAAATTCTTTGAAAATTCTACCTTTTTCGTTTGAATTATAGACATCGTTATGCCGAACACCGACATCAGCACAATAACACAGGCATAATAATAGTAATCGTATGTGAACCACAATACCACCGAAAATATTTGGAATACATAAAATGGATTAAGTACTTCTAAGAACAACAATGTTTTCACATCTTTATAAGGAACTGTTATTTCATTTGGCCCATAGACTAGACGTCTGGCCACTCTCTCCTGTTGGCTCAAGCCGTGCTGTTGATGGAAATACGCATTGGACACATCGACATCCAGCCCTTGCAATTTATCGAATGTTTGTGTTTGAGAATTCCATGCGTAGCGCAACTGTTTGCAGACGAATATACGGGCACTTGTACAATCTGAAGAAGAAGAAACATTTTATAACAAAAGAAAGAGAAATAAGTGAAAGGAAGGTTAGGTTACATTAGAAGACATTAGAAGACTTAATGGTAGACCTATTGTTCCACCCCAAGGAGACCTCCCTGGTGTTTAATAAAAAAGCCTTCTGGTCTTGCACATGAAGGCTTATTGTCTTCTGGTATTCTATAATAAGACATATTTCCGGTATTTAATTATAAATATTTCTGGTATTAAATAGGTCTTCACAACTTCTATAAACCAAAAAAATTGTCTTTAATAAGAATACCCCCCGTTCTCATATATGTTCTCCTGATTGTTTATAAGTTCAAGAAGACCTGGTCTTCCATTCGAAGACCATTTGTTCCTCTGTATAAAAAAGTGTTTATCCTTTATATGAAGACCTTCTGGTCTTCCATTCGAAGACCATTTGGTCCTCTATATAAAAAAGTGTTTATCTTTTATAAGAAGGCATTTTTGTCTTCTATACAAATACCTGTTGCTGTTAAAAAGGAAAACCTTTTGGCCTTCTATGCTTACCACATGAAGACCTGGACTGTTCTTCCAACTGAAGACCATCTGGTCCTCTATTAGAAGGCTTATTGGAAGATTTTTTGGTCCTCTCTGAGAAAACCTTATAGTCTTCCATTAGAAGGCCTTCAGGTCTTTCTCTAAAAGACATTCTGGTCTTAAATTTGAAGACTTTCTGATCTTCCACTAGAAGGCCATATGATTTCCTACTAAAAGACCTTCTGGTTTTACTTTCGAATTCCTTGTCGTCCTCTATAGGAAGACCCTCTTTTAGTAGACTTATTGTCCTCCATTAGAATAACTTTTGGTAGATCTTCTGGACTTTCTATTGAAGACCATCCGGACTTATAATAATAAATTTTCTGATCTTGAAGTAGAAGATCTTTTGGCTTCCCTTTCAGAAAACCTCCTCCTTCGAAGGTCATCTGGTCCTATATTAGAAGACTTTCTGATATTTTTTAGAAGGATTTCTGGTCTCCCAACTTCCTTGTCTTCTAAAGTATTCTTTAAAAAGAAGGCCTTCTGATCTTCTAAAGGAAAACCTTCTGCTTTTCTAAAGAAAGTCCTACTGATCTTCTAAAGGAACACTTTCTGGTCTTCTAGAGAAAGACCTTCTGATATTGTTTAGGTCTTCTGGTCTGTTATAGGAAGACCTTCTGGTCTTCTAAAGGAAAACTTTATGTTTTTCTTAAGGGAGGCCATCTGATCTTCTAAAGGAAGACCTTCTCATTTTCTAAAAGAAGATCTTCTAAACGAAAGACCTTTTGGTCTTCTAAAAGAAGACCTTCTGATCTTCTAAATTAAAACCTTCTGCTTTTCTTAAAGAAGGCCTTCTGCCCTTCTAAAGGAATATCTTCTGATCTTCTAAAAGAAGACTTTCTGATCTTCTAAAGGAAGATCTTCTGATCTTCTAAAGGAAGAACTTCTGATTTTCTAAAGAAATACCTTCTGATCTTCTTAGAGAACACCATTGAACCAACAAGAAAAACTATAGACTAGAAAGACTTTTCATTGAAGACCAGACCAGATCTTCGAATGGTCTTCTAATAGAGGACCAAAAGATCTTCTAAAAGATGACCAAATATATTCTAGAAGAAGTCTTCCATTCGAATAACTTGGGCTATCTATTAGAAGACACTTTGGCCTTCTATTAGAAGTATTTCAGGGTCCTCTTTTAGAAGACCTTCTGCTTTTCCATTCGTAAACCTTCTATTCTTTCAAAACAGAACTTTCTTGTCTTTCATTCGAAAACCTTCTGGTTCTGTAAAAAATACCTTTTTGTTCTCTATTAGATGAGTTTTTGGTCCTCTATTGGAAGACTTTCTGGTCTTCCATTCGAATAACATTTAGTCTTTCAAAAGAGGACTTTCTTTAAATCCATTCGAAGACCTTCTGGTTCTCTATAAAAATATGTTTTTTTCTCTATTAGGTGAGTTTTTGGTACTCTATTTGAAGACTTTCTGATCTTCCATTCGAAGACATTTAGAAGAGCTTTTGGTCCTCTGTTTGAAGTCTTTCAGGTCTTCCATTCGAAGAGCTTCTGTTTTTCCATTTAAAAACCTTCGGGTCTTCCCAAAATTTTTCTTTATAATAAGATCTTCCTAACCTTTAAAAAACATACTCCTGATTTTCCATAACCAATATCTTAAGAAGACCTTTTGGTCTTCCATACATTCCATATTTTCAGTTTTGTGAAAATTCTATTCCCGCCAAACTTACACTTGAATTGACCCGTTGCAAAATGCATAGACAAATGGAAATTCCGTTCTTCCAAATCGGCACCATCGAAAACACCAAGACCGCCGCCCGCACCACCACTTTCAACATTATTACAACCATTGGCTAAATTTTCTTTATTGATTTCCGCAGTGGTCGTCGTCGTGGCATTTCTTGCAGGAGATGATGACGATTTTTGCTGCTTGGCTGCTTTCAATTGTTCTTGTCTGTAAAGAAGGTATTACTTTCAATTTATTTTTATTTTCAGATTTCATTATTGTACTACTCACCTCAATGTATTAATATCTAAATTTTGTATCTCCTTGACATAGTAGATTTTATGGTTACCCTTGTAATCTTCTTGTACCAGAACTTTGTCGGCTTCTTCCAAACTGCAGATTTCATGGGTGGCCATTAGATACCAATGACGCCACCAATGCAATATCAAACGCAACAAACCGCCGGTCAGGCAAATGCATAGCCAACATAATGCGGTACGCATTGGTGACCGGCGATAGCCGGTTATTTTCATTTCATCTTCTTCGTTGGGATTTAGTAAACCAGTGCATGGTTTTTGATCTGCAAAAAACAAAAGAGGAAATATTAAAAATTAATTAAAATTAAGAAAAAAATATGTTTGCGAAGTTGAAAAATAAATTTGTTATTTAAGATATTTTTTAACAATTCGTGACTTGAATTGTTTTCTTTTTTATTGCCAAATCTTAATGGCTTTGGATAATGAAAACATCTTCTTAAATAAATTAAAGTAATTATTTAATTAAAATATTTTATTGTTTATCTTTATCTTTTTTTTCGAAAAATGTATTATTGTTAACTTTGTTCTGTAGATATCTTGGAAAAAGGTAAATCCCATTTGAGGGTTCTTTTCGTACATTTCGTGAGAAGTGTGTGTGTTTGTCTTTAAACCACCTGTATATACACACATATTTATTTTATTATCTGTCAATACCCCGAGTGCTTAAAACGTGTTAATGGCTTTGCTTTTATTTAATTTTTTGTTGCAGACAATTTCAATTTTTTTATGCAATATTACAGAAACAAAATCGATAAAAAAAACTGGAGTGATGTTAACCTCAATACTGAATAAAAATGGAGTATTATACTACAGTGGAGACGTAAGGTAAACAAAGATCAGGATCAATGGAGGTAAATAAATAAATTTCATTCGTTTTTTTCTGCATTTTCCTAATCGTTCTTTTTTCCAAATTAGGTTATCATCAAGATTTACAACCCCCCTATTTTTGCCGTTTGGTGTCCCAGTTAACTCGTTTTAGTTCAAGGCCATAAACCGAAAACCTCAAATTGATGTCGATTAACTGATATCGTGCCTGGCAATTTTTATTACACGCCAGTGATTGTTAGAGATTACAAATAATGTGTATTCTGTTGCACATACAACGACGTATCTAAGTACATATTAACCTATGTAAGTAAGTTGGTTATCACAATGTACGTAAATACGTACATATGTAGAAAATTACAACGAATCATTATCGTCGTCATCGTATCTTTAAAGCTATTACTAAGACAAGTAAATGTGATATATTTTTGAGAAATTGCTAATGGGTACTTACGAACGGACCTTAAAAACTTTTAATAGAGGACCAAAGTGTCTTCAATAGAGAACCCAAGTTATTCGAATAGAAGACTTCTTCTAGAATATATTTGGTCATCTTTTAGAATATCTTTTGGTCCTCTATTAGAAGACCATTCGAAGACCTAGTCTGGTCTTCAACAAAAAGTCTTTCTAGTCTATAGTTTGTTTTTTCAATTGGTTCTCTAAGAAGATCTTTAGAAAATCAGATGTTCTTTTTTTAGAATATCAGAATGTTTTAATTTAGAAGATCAGAAGGTCTTCCTTTAGAAGATTAGAAGGTCTTCCTTTAGAAAATCAGAAGGTCTTCCTTTAGAAGACAAGAAGGTCTTCCTTTAGAAGACAAGAAGGTCATGCTATAGAAGACCAGAAGACCTTTCAAACAATATCAGAAGAAGATCAGAAGGACTTCCTTTAGAAGATCAGAAGTTCTTCTTTTAAAAGACCAGAAGGTCTTTCTTTAGAATATCAGAAGATCTTCCCTTAGAAGACCAAAAAGTATTCCTTTAGAAGACAAGAAGGTCATCCTATAGAAGACCAGAAGACCTTCTAAACAATATCAGATGAAGATCAGAAGGACTTCCATTAGAAGACCCGAAGGTCTTCCTTTAGAAGATCAGAAGGTCTTCCTTTAGAAGATCAAAAGGTCTTCTTTTAAAAGACAAGAAGGTCTTCTTTTAAAAGACTAGAAGACCTTCCAAACAATATCAGAAGAACAGAAGGACTTCCTTTAGAAGACCAGAAGGTCTCCCTTTAGAAGATCAGAAAGTCTTCTTTTGAAACACCACAAGGTATTTCTTTAGAAGATCAGAAGGTTTTCCTTTAGAAGATCAGAAAGCGTTCCTTTAAAAGACCAGAAAGTCTTCCTTTAGAAGACCAGAAGTTGGTAGACCAGAAATTCTTCTAAACAATACTTTTTAAGAGCACAGGCGTGAGCTTGTCAAGAAGTAATATTTTTATTTTAAATTTTCAAGATATATTTTCTTTCTTTAAAATATTGTATGCATAGTTTTTTTTAATATTTGTCAAAACACTTATATCAACCTTGTTTAATATAATATTATGACTTCCCGGGTCCCATTTAAGTGATAATTTTCTTTTAATATTAATTTTAATTGCTTAGCAAATAACATTTGTTGCTCCCTTCGAACTTTACCGAGGGTATATAAACACTATTATTAAAAAAATAGTTACTTGACCTGCATCTTTTCACACTATATTTGTATGTAAGTAGGTGTAGGTACCCTGAAATATGACATTTAAAAAACAACCTCTTAAACGTCACCCTCACCTCGTCATACCACATAATTTTGAATGCATTGCATGTACAACACGTATGACTGTGTGTGAGTATGTGTGTGTGACTACGTATTTTGCATGCCTTAAGCGCTACTGTCACACCGCAGAACACAATTTACATACTAAACCAAAAAAATTAAAAAAAAAATTGTTGAGACAAAACCCACTTCCCATCCACCCACACAATAACAGCAACGCTGAATAATAACAACGTCAGACTCATCTGCCTGCAAGGAAGTTAGACAAGAAATATACGTCACTTTTTTTGGTAGATTACGTAGAAGAATTTTAAATTTTATGATATTGAGAAACATTAAAAAAATGGTTAAAATTGTCTCCAGTTGTTCAGAGAGGATTCATAAAGACCTTATACAGACTCAAAGGGTTTTACAGTGATCTATAAATGTACATATTTGATTTTTTTAAATATTTTTTTCAAAATAATGTATAGCGTTGATTTTTTAAAAATATTTTATGTTTTCATAAAACTTTGGAAATTTACCTGTTACAGTTGTTACTTCTCTATCGTTCATTGGTCTGCGGAAATGCAGCAAAATGTGCGGCCGATGAAATTCTCAAATAATTTTCTTCTAGAGACATTAAAGTAACTTCGAGTTGGTGGGGAAAGGGGAAACGCAAAGCGTAACGATTTGTCGTTGAATGGTGTTGGATTAATTTAAATTAATTAAATTGTGTTTATATTTATATTGTTTTCAATTATTTGTTTTACTTTTTGTTAATTTCTCTTTTTTTTAATTTGTTTGTAATGTAAATTGTTATTATTGCGTTTTAATTATTGTTAATAATTACACGCATACCCCATTGCCTTGAAATTGAATTCTAATGGTGGTGGGGAGGAAATATTTCATTATTATTAGTTTGTATTTTTTTTATTTAATTTATTGCCTTTTATTATTAATAAGGCACAATTTGTTTGTGTTTTTTTTTTCTTTTACTTATAATTGTTGTTGTTGCTGTTGTTTTATTAATGAGAACGCACGCGAATTGTAATTATCAATGTTTTGAATACAAAGTTTATTTTAAAATTTTGCCAAAGACAAAAATTATGTTTTAAGGGGGGAAATCACATGAGAACTTTTGGGTTAAATGTGGTGATAAGTGGTTAATAATCGCAACATCCATCCCAAAAGCCTGGATTTTTTGAAAATATTTTTTTAACATCTACCCATTGGTGTGGATTCTTAAACATACTTTTTAAAATCTAACCACAGGCCTGGATTTTTTTATTTTTTTTTAACATCCACCCTTAGGCTTGGATTTTTTTAGATTTGGATTTTTAATACTACAACCATGCTTAAATTTAGTATCCATATTTAATTACATCCAATCAGAACGAATCTAATCTGAGAGATTTAACAACAAAAAATTTAAACTATTTATAAAGGTGTTAAATACATATTTGTATTTGTGTTTAATTGGAATGTAAATTATTATTAGTTGTTTTTGTAATTTACTTCATTATATTAAAATGACTTGCTTGCTACGGCAACTTATTTCAGATGACTTGCACATGTATATGCATTGATATCTTATTACTCAGTTGCCGTTATTTGTAATTATGGCTTAAGTCCAATTTTGAATAATTAATAAATATTATGACAATTTTAATTGCAAGGAAAATTTAATTAAATGAAAAATGTTATATGGGAAAGATATTATTTTTAATTTTTTTATTTAAAAAATTGTGTTTTATAATTTTTTTTTCATTTGCAAATTAAAAATATTTTTTTTTTTTTGCTAAATTATTCGTAATAGCTAAACAAAATGTATTTATTTTCATATGTTTGAAAGTCAGGGTTATATGTAAATTAGAGTTTGAAATTGGATCCACTTGTGGTTGGTTGGCTACTGTTTGTGAGTCACAATAATGGGTTTTTGTGTGTGGAGTTTATTGAACTGTTTTTCGTTGGATTTAAAAAAAAATATATATATATTCGCATTCACATTGGTTATCTCTTTAGATAAACTTCATTCATATAAATGAAAAATGTGCTAAGTGATTTTAAGAAATGCATTTAAATTTAGTTATTTAATTTGGATATTTTTATCATAACATTGCAAATAACTAAAAAACGTAGTAAAAAAAAATAGAAATCTTCCAAAGTTAATCTCTTCTCAAAATACATATTTGAAAATACTCATTTATTGATGCCTTTCTTCTTCGAGTCTAATTTGTTTATTTTTATGTTATAAAGTACCCTCGTGCTAATTATTGTTTTTGTATTTGTTGCTAATGCCCATTCACTGAGAATTCTGATAAGATTTTTTCTTCTCTAATCTAAATCTATATTATGAGGGTTTATTGTTTTTTTTTTTTCGTTTTATTTTTCCCTTTTTTTTTGCTGTTATGATGTTTTCTATCAAGTGCCAAATGACGTTTAAAAAACAACAACAAAAATTACGAATATCAAATGAATGATAATAACATGTGAGTGAAAAGCTATAACACCTCCCTCTCTCTCTCTAAGCAGACACTCATATTTGTGATAACAAACCAGTTGAAATGAAGTGAGTGCGAGACAGAGAGAAAGAGTGAACAAAAAATAAGAGTGTAATTCGTTTGCTCGTGGTACTGTGTGTGATAAGCCGTAATTGTTTTTATTATGTATTATTATTATTGTAATAACACACCAACACAATGTTA